CTCTTCTTTATCAGCCAGCAAGCAAAATTTGTTGACTTCTGTTAATACTGCTAATGTCAATTAGATAGATAATAATTAAATGCAGCTCACAATGCTGGAGGAAACTCTATCTTACTAGAGAAACTGAAAGTTCATTCCACGCCACTTCCAGTTTGGAAAGCTGCACCTTTGACAGCAATCTTGTCTGGTAAGAGGTGTTGGTCACAAATAAGGCCAAAAAAAAACCAAAACCAAACCCTGCCAAAGAGTTTGGCGTATGGCAATTACAGAAGGCAAGTGGTTAAGGAGAGGGAGGGAGACAGATGTGGCTAAGGATCCTGTAGTTAAGGAGATGGAAGAAATTCTAATAAAATTGCTCTAGCTGACTTGGAATGTGCTGCTTTCATTTGATAAAACAGAAAAGGTGTTAGGCATGCAGACTTCATGTGCCTCTACTGAATTAATGTTTTTCAGAATTAAGACAGAGGAGTGATTAAAAATAGCTGAATTCTTAGGATTCTCTCTGCTTAAGAAGATGGTGTGTGTGTTTTGGACGGCCCTGCGTTCCAGTCGGAGAGCGGTGGATCCTATGAAATGTGTACCTTTCAGAAAAGGTACATCTACATAAAAGTAATCCTTGTGCTTTCTTTGACAGTCGGTCAGAGAGGTATTAATCGGAAAATAAATGTCTTTACAGATTTTAGACGATGCATATCTTTACTAGAAGCTTTCAGATACAGAATTTAAGCAGTTAAACCATGGATTCTAACTATATTTTAAATTTACTGTTTTATTTTCATTTTTCTCATCAACTGACTGTGCACGGAAAACTTACGTTCCCTTCAGAGTAGGACTGTGATTGTAAAATGCACTTTTGTGTATACTTGTAGAAGTCGCTGCAAGGTGGTTTAACTTCAGGCAGCCATTTGCTGCGCTGGATTTGCATGAACCCCATGGTTAGCAAACACGGCTGCTCGTGACCGCTTTTTCTCTCAGCATTTCAGCAGGCGTGGTCTGTGTGCAATCTTTGAGCAACCTGATCTGGTTAGCGGTGTCCCTGCTCACCGCAGCGGGGTTGGACTAGATGACCTCTGGGGGTCCCTTCCAACCCAAAACATTCTGTGATTCTGTGCTTCTGTGCTTCTGCATGCACGGTGCTTTCTCATTGTTCTTTCTGCAGGCTCGCGAGGGGCTAGAAATGCCTCACAGCAGCTTGGAGCCAGGAAAAGAACGGTGACCAGAAACCTAAGCAGGAGCCAAGTTGAAACATGAGGTGTATTGCACGTTCTAGGAGAGATCACGTAAGAATGCCATTTTGGTGTCTTAAAATGAGGTCCATACATAGAATTAGGGAATTGCTCTAGGTGGGTGTCGTGGTTTAACCCGGCTGGCAACTCAGCACCACGCAGCCGCTCGCTCACCCCACCCCTCCCTCTGTGGGATGGGGGAGAGAATCGGAGGAAAGAAAAAAAAAATAAGACCCGTGGGTTGAGATAGAGACAGTTTAATAGGAGAGAAGAATAACAATAGTGATAATAATAATGGTAAGAGAATATACAGAATATATAAAACAAGTGATGCACAATGCAATTGCTCACCACCTGCTGACCGGTGCCCAGCCCGTCCTGAGCCGCGATCACACCGCCCGAGCTACGATCACCCTGCCTGCGACCGACTGACCGATTAACCCCCCTGAGCATGACGTTCTATGGTATGGAATAGCCCTTTGGTCAGTTTGGGTTGGCTGTCCTAGCTGTGCTGTACTCCCAGCTTGTTATGCACCTGGCCGAGCAGGAGAAGCTCAAAAAGTCCTTGAGTAGTCTGAGCACTACTGAGCAACAACTGAAAACATCAGTGTGTTACCAACATTCTTCTGGTACTAAAAGCAAAACACAGCACTATGCTAGCTACTATGAAGAAAATTAACTCTATCCCAGCCGAAACCAGGACAGTGGGTTTTAACAGGGAAGGGTGTCATGAGCATTTTCAAAGAAAACCTGTTTTGTCCATATATCTGGAAATAATAACTTGCGACTTATGTGACTGATACAATGGTTTGTCCTTTTTTTCCTACAAGATTTCCTACTTAGTAGTTTAGTGTCTTGAAGTCTCAGATGTTTTTCTTGGCATCCCTGCTGGCATCGGAATGGGTTCCTTGTTGGCTGTGTCAGTGCTGCGGGAGAGCCAGCGTGCTTCCTCTTGCCAGGGTGCGCCCAAGCCATTTCTTCATGCTAAGGACCACTCCTAAAGCTGTTTTCACTTCTCTCCTCTGCAGCTCTCTGGTTTCCACTGGAGAGAGAGCTAGCAGGGGGTGGGGGTGGGAATCAAAGCACAGTCCAGTAGGTTACGTATCTGGGTGATCGGGGTAGATGTTGAGTGCACACAGTGAAACACATCTGCTGCACGCTTCAGACATAGCCTCTGGAAACTAATCTTGGAGATTTATTTTCTTTCCTGCTTTTATTTCCTTTCCCACTTCTCCAGTACATATTATTAATTTGGTGGCTGATTTTTTTTTCTTTATCCCAGTAAGAGATTTATTATCATAGAATCATAGAATCACTTTGGTTGGAAAAGACCTTTAAGATCATCGAGTCCAACCGTTAACCTAACCCTGCCATCCCACCACTAAACCCTGTCCCTAAGCACCTCATCTATCCTTTTAAATACCTACAAGGATGGGGTCTTGCCCACCTCCCTGGGCAGCCCATTCCAGAGCCTGACAACCCTTTCAGTGAAGAAGTTTTTCCTAATATCTAACCTAAACCTGCCCTGGCGCAGCTTCAAACCATTTATGAAATGGTTTTCTGGAGAAAAGGAGGCTACGGGGAGACCTGATTGCGGCCTTCCAGTACCTAAAGGGGGCCTATAGGAAAGATGGGGAACGTCTTTTTCATAGGGCCAGCTGTGTTAGGACAAGGGGAAATGGTTTTAAACTAGAACAGGGTAGGTTCAGGCTAGAGGTAAGGAAGAAATTTTTTACAATGAGGGTGGTAAAACACTGGAACAGGTTGCCCAGAGAGGTAGTGGAGGCCCCATCCCTGGAAACATTCAAGGCCAGGTTGGATGGGGCTCTGAGCAATCTGATCTAGTTAGCAGTGTCCCTGCTCACTGCAGGGGGGTTGGACTAGATGACCACTAGTGGTCCCTTCCAACCCTAAACATTCTATGATTCTATGATTCTATGAAGTGCCTTTACATTCAGTGAAACCCATAACATATTTTAAGTTTAAAAAAGGGATAAAGAACTAGATATGAGAAATTGCTTTTGTGTTGGAGGAAGTTATTTGTTGGCTGAGACCAAAACAGAACTGTGAGAAGTCTGAAGAGATTTGAGCACGCTGAGTGGTTTGACTGACAATGTTCAGGTCTGATAAATGCAGACAATCCAGGTGGGAAGGAAAAACGCTTAAATTGCACTTTTTAAATTTTAATTTTCTAAATTCAGTATGTGTACTTTGGCGTGATTTCCAAGAAGTGAAACATCACCTTTGTAAAATCAGCTCTTACCAATGCAGGAGGAATGTGGTGAAGCACCACGTAAGAAAGTATGTTGATTCCCTCTC